ACTGAAAAGAAAATTGATTTTTCCTGAAATTCAAACGCTTTTAAACCAGGCAAGAATTTACGTTGTCTTTTCCAATAATCAATCTCCCCGATAATAGGCTATCCTAAGATCAACATTTCGATTAATCAACGTTCTACCCTATATCGGAATCCGATGAAGTAACGAAGTTATAGCGATTTGAATTGAGCAACGCGTACCAGTGGAAACGAGAAAAGAATCCATGCACGTGGGAGTTCGGTTAAAAGATATACTACGTGTAGACGGTTGAATTAAAATAAAATAGCAACGATCGTGTATACTTTGTACAGAAAATGATAATGAATATTATTTGTATAACACTTATTGATATTAATCGCACAGAAACCATTAATAGCGACGTTGATAAATGATTCGTGGTGTTAATTTGTAATGGTGTCGATGATCAAGGTATTAAATAATTCAACCTTTACACATAATACCCCTTCCTTTTGACAACGGAATTGAAACCATAGCTGGGGAAAATTTCAACGATTACCATGAACGTAATTGCTGCATCCCGTCCAGATTTTCTAAAGCTCCGATGGATCTCAACTTTTAACATAGGAATTTGCACTGATAATCAGAATATCTGGATTCAATGCTGCCTATGGAAAGCGTTGCATCGATTATCGTACAGCCTGGACCGAGCTTACAATGGATTTTCATGGACCATCGATAGACTGGCCACTCGTGACAACATACTCGTGTCTCACAATGACTTCCTTTTGCTCGCTTTGTGAATACCAGCACAAAAAGCTTATTACTTACTATACTTTTATTGTTCTAGCCTCATCGGATGCGAAAGGACGACGAAGCATCCTTTTCGAGTACTGTTTAATTACTTGGGCACGCGAACAGCGAGAAAATGTACTCATAACGTATTAAAAAAACAAATTGCGCGACATACCGTGAGCGAATTGATCCAATCGCAACAAACGCATTATCTGTCTCGTATCAGGGTTTTGATTACTTTCGATACAGACCGTTATTCAAATTTTAAGCGTTAATAAATATGGAAAACAGAGTAGAATCGTATTCGTGTTCTCTGTATTTAATTAACTGACGAATCACTAAATTGTTTAAGAATATTACGCGCATCGATATCAAGTTACTTAGGGTTCAATACGAAATAAATGGTTACTTATAGAAGATCTTTGAGAGAGAAGATACGAAGCTAAATCCTTGCAGGATGTTGGGAGACCACAAATCGGAAATGAAAAGAGTAATCATGAGAATCTACCCTACGAGATATATGAGCGGAAGCCTTAAAATAATATTTGATTTCTACATTTTCGCAGAGATACTTGGATCAATTATCACAACACATATATTTAAATAATGATGTATATATTCAAAACGGTTAGAAATGGATACAAGTCCCAAGAAACAAAATTAAACGGTATCAAACAGTACGTAATCTAGAAAATACAGTTTCACTTTTTTTAGAGATGCTTATTCTTTAGACACATACTATAATAAATGTTCGAATAGAACCCTTCTGATGACAAGCTATTTTATGTTTTAAGAACTATAGAAACCGGAAACAATATAACTAATTCTAGACGAAAATATAAATTGCACAACGGTCTCGTAAGAAATGAATTAACATAAATTTAAACTTCCCGCATCAATCCAGTTCGAAACTTCTCCATGTCTGACTATGGAGGCTTTCCAGGATTTCCGATCTATCAATACTTTCAAACCCTTTCAGCACTTTCAAGACAAGGTATTCGAAGAACATAGGAGAGATCTTCCAAGGAAAGAGATCTCAGAAAATAGTTCAGGGACCTTCCTGATTTACAATACTGAACAAACTGAATAAAACAGAGTTTGGTCAACCTTGGTCCCCAGATCGATCCTTTCAAAGATAATCGCGACTTGTTGTTTCGATAATGTAAACAATCTATCCACATTTCGTTGCATACGATAAGGCAAACGTTCGCTTATTTGTGCATTTTTAAAAAGATGCTAGTTTATATTTAGAGAAGTATCTCGTTAAGTAAAGTAACACGCCATCTTGTATTTGAAATTTTTCGCTTCAGTTTCGATATTAACGACATGATTACTAAGACTTTTAGGCAGAAATTACCACTGTGAAACGACTGGTTGGACAAAAACTATTTTGCTCGAAGAAAGTACGTATCGTATTTATGCAAGACGAGTCCCATTGTCTCTTTGTTTCGATATCGGACTACTTAGACGGGTAGAGGCGGATTGAATCCAAGAGCAAAGACTTTGAACGTTGCACTTCCCCTGACAAGATCGCGCGCGGTTTTGACGGGCAGAACTGGTCGTTAAGGTAGTTTTTCGAGTTTTTATTTAAGTTGGCGCGTGCTCACGTACCGCATCAACGTCCGCGTGGCTCATCCTTCCGCCGCTTTCTGAATGCATCCTGCTACCACACACGTCATAATTATCAAGAGTTAAGACGTCCCGCGCATTTTTCCCCCAGACGCCGTTCAGGAAACTAATTAGCTACCGCATAACGAGCGTCGCGCGAACAAAAAGATGTCTCGTAATTAGTCGACGCTCCTGACTCAACCTCGTATCGATCCTCCGAAATGTGCATGGTCACCGACGAATATTATGAAAAATCGTATGTAAACGGCAGGCGACCAGAGGCTCAAAGTATCGCGGATTAGAAAACTTAGGCTCTTCTGTCCGGCACCGTGAATCTAACTTTCCCACCCCGAGCGTTTGAAATTTGTAACCGTGAATCTGCTTGGCAATATTAATATTATACTTGTAAGCACCAACGTAAGTAGAAACAACGTATATTAGTCAGACGCTTTAGATTTTCAACGTCAGTTATGTAGAAAACAAATATAGAAAAATAAAGGTATTTTCGATTTATTTTCTGTCATGAAATGATCGTATGATCGCTTTTATCTACAAAATCCCTTTGAATGGACGTGGACAGTAACTAGGTTAAAGGGAATTCTATGTTTTACACGATCAAAAAAATCAATTTTTTTCACAGTGTGTATTTTGAAAAATTTGTACAGTTGCCAAAGTTTATTACTACAAAAAGTGGTGTCTTATTTATTGAGAAGAAAATATGTATTTCCATTTCAAAAAATAATAGAAAAATAAGGTACTACAAATTGTGGTGTTTCTTGAGCCATTCATTTTTTTCCTTTGATCTATTTCTCTAACCGTATCGATAACAAAGTTTTGCTGTGAGATAGTCGCATGGACCACCCTATATATCGGTTGAAGACGTTTCATGTATTTGGTCAGTGAAAATCCAATTACTTTTGAAATTTATTTACTCGTACAATGACTTTCATGTGCATTGTTGTCTTTTCGGGATGTTTAAAAGTGACCCACTTTGCAATTTCAAATTAGCGAGATTGATTTTACTGGCTGTGTATACATAATTACTAATTGTCGTTTAATGTATATTTCATCATTTCCTTCAGCTTCACAATTAATTTAATTTTCTCGATATATCTACTAAGCTTTTGTGATTTTTTTACAAAATATCTACTCGAAGAAGCCTAAAGTCAATTATCGAAATGTAGTATATTTCAATGAATTAACCAAATATAGAAACTATCCATGTACTATTATAATCAGACACATGGAGTTTTAAAGAGAAGAAATCTTTTAAATATATATATATTTTAAAATTTTTTAAATTTAAATTATATATTTTGTTACAAAATAACAAAAATATCACTATCCCTTTTCTACATGAATATTAATAATAATCATTTTAATGCAGTATTTGCAATACTTTGAAGCGTATCACTTGACATCTAATGTTATGAATTTTGATAGTTTATAATCTGGTATTTGAAGCTTCTCCGATCAAAGTTATTAATATTAATAGTGTTTGAAGTTTCTAATACTGATCACTGTCCTTTTGGTCGGTTGACCAATTGAAATTCTGTCGTCGATAACCAATGATCCATGACGTAATCATGCGTAGCCTAAATACATGATAACCACAAGCCGCACATTGGTATCAGTACGTTATTAAACCTCTGAAGCAGGCAACTGCAATGCTAGTAAAACTTTCAAATACTATTTTACATCAGTCCTAACAGTATAAAGTGCTGCTGATTGAAAATGCAATTTAATTTTAATTTCGAGAAGATGAGAATTCTCATTCTTGTAATCACTCTAAGTAAACGAAACATTTCTTAACCGTCAATTATATTCCACTTTTCAACGTAGCTTTACTACATGTAAATACAATTTACACTCGGTATAATGAAACTCAAAAGGTAATTATTCACAAAAAATAATTTGTAAAATATTTTTAAATCAGCGAAGTATCCGATGTTATCTTACAGGTAGTAATAAGTACCTAATTTAAATTTTTCACTATGAGGACATTTGTTATTTAGAATAATGTTTGTAATAGAATTTTTGTTTCACTATTTTGCACAACTGCGACCACAAGACTACCAAATCTTTCAATCTTTCAACGCTACCGTGACTGTTGAAACTTTGTAAATAGAACCGACAAGGTTTCCTCCATCATTAAAATTTCTCAACCATTCCCGCCCAAGTAACTGTGTCCAAAGAAAACTTCCAAAATTCCCAAGAAACTTGCAGAATAATATTCACCACGTAAACCGGCCTTAATAAATGATGAAAGAAGCTAACAACTTATATAGCACGAGTAAACTACCAAACTGCACATAAACAACACGGTAACAAAAGGAACCATCTCTCTAAAAAAGAAAAAAGACACACAGAAGTTACGAAATTTCATAAATTTCAACAAATATATCCATTTCTCGTAATAATTTTACCTGTTCGTAAAGTTTTCATTATCACTCGCGAAAACTATTCCAGGTTAGATTTAATATTCTCGATTCTATCCCACCTTTACGCAATATTTATTTTCACAGTTTAATTATTTAGATAATAAGGACGATTAATAATAATATGGATCTGCGCACCTCGCGACACACTCTCGTAAAACTGTTAAATAATTTCGAGAAAAGCTTGATTCGTTCCAGACTTACCGATAAAAATCTCACGTTCCCTTTGTCGAGTCTCGTCACAGTGTCGTCGAGTTGAGTCTTCTTCCGATAACACGATAACATAACTCACGACTCGTGCACCACGGTCGGCTGGCGACTGACTGCTTGCAGTTTGAAAGCTCGCAAGTCTTAGGAGCGACCTCTGCCACCACCACGTGCTTCCGCGGACAACAGCGCTGCGCGCGGTGATCCTACGAAACCGCCATTGTCCTGGAAAACCTCCCTAAGCTTGGCTTTCCGAGTCGCAACACTCGATCCCGCTACGATATCGCGGCGATGATCAACGCACGTTGGAAACTCTAAATAAAAGGGAGGCTTTATCATTTCAGTCGCGGTAATCCGTTTGTAGTTGCAACTTGCATTCATTGCCTGGCTCCAAACGGAATACACAGCCGCTACGAGTTCGACTGCTTTTTTCAGTTTGCCTTTTGATTCATTAAAATTTAAACTCTGTCGAAATATTGAACCTTTTCGCGCCGTACGACGAGATACTCTACTTTCCACCTCGCGATGCTTGGAAACCGTATGGCAAGAGAATTGTAATTTGAGATTTTCTAATTTTCCGTCTAAATATTATTCCGGAATTGTAGAAGGCGTCGGAGGGAACAATGTTGACGCGTTTTGAATGCAGCGTCAGACTAACAATACGCGAAGTAGAATAGTGTGTGTACGTGTGTGTCTCGAAAGTCAGCGCAACATAGAATGTGCAGTGAGAAATGCTCAGATCCAAATCAAAGTATATGAACCCACGTAAGTTGAATTAAAATTCTTACTCAATGGATATATTTTCCTAAAAAACATTTTTATCGTACGTTACCAACAATAATAATTTAATTCTACTGGCTCCACCAAAAAATTAAAATTTCTGTAATTATAAAATAAGCAAAAATTCCTTGCTAAAGATTTATTCTTTAAAATTTGTAATTAAGGATATATCAAACTTGAAATAGCATCACTTTAGTGAGCAGTAGACATTCCCATTTTTATATGGAAATTAGTATTCTTGAAACAAGGAAAAACCATCTGTGTGACTTGTATTAGGTCAAACGTTCCTTACTCGTCCTACCACATTCCTATAAATCCAGAACTGGTCTTTATTTCTCTTTACAATACCCATTGGCTGGTTTTCCAAGGTTTACTTAGGTCCTGAATAAATCTGTTCCATTGGACACGTAAGTGTAGAATCTCTTTGTTGTGCCAAGAACGACATTATTAATCGAATATTGTCGTGCGTGACTGGACTTCGTCGCGTTAGACATTTTGCACTCTTGAATGCATTTCTTCTAGCGCTTTTCCCGAGTTTTATAGAGGGTATTATGAGACTGCAAATATTTTAGCAATATATACTTTGAAGTACAACGAAACTGTTCTTTGCTGATAGTTACCCTCGTTACTTATGAAAGACCATAATATATTTAATGTCAAATTTCCAAATTTAATTTACAATATCTACGAGTTTACTGTACGTGTCAGAGCAATTGAAATGTAGCACATTTCATAGTTAGCACTGATATCAAAAAACTTTCTGATACCGTGTAACTTAGACTTTAATAGTCTGGCTGGTGTATGCTCCACATTTCCTAACAACTTGTTTTTCCGTGATCCAGAGAAATTCCATTTTATTTATATGCATATAACTGCATGAAAACTAATTCGACAGTAACAAACTTGTCAATTGTTGGCGCAGGGCTAACGAACCTTTTACATAATGCGCACATCGGTTAAGTGATAACTACATAAATTTCAGCGAGATAGCTGAATTAATCCTCTCGGAACAAAATCAATTTAGAAACTTTGCAGACATACTGTGTATTCTCTTGAGGTTCTTGGAAATGAGCCTGCGACGACTAATTGATAGAATGGTTCAACTCAGACTGGTGTGACCGGATAAAGAATTCGATTTTTAGAGAAAACACAAACTTCACGGTGAAACTATTTTATCATCGTAATGTTTTTATATAGGATTTAAAAAAATTTCTCAAATTCTCTAAATTCCCACTGCAATGTTTTTCTTTAACATTTCTCATTTCCTAGTACACCTCAATTTCTTGCAACAGTAAAACTCAGAAATATTTTTAATAATTATTCAATATGAAAGGTACGTTGCTTATTAATTGTTTAACGACAAATTCCTCGTAATAGTTCCTTCTGTCTTTCATATATTTCCACGGGAGAAATTAACGAACACGTGGTCGAATTGACGAAGATTGATCGCGAGCCGATAAATAAATTGTATCCTCGGCCGGCATTATTCATTGGAATTCGCGGTTCCGTCCGCGTCCTTTCGAGCAAGGAGAATAGTCTTTATTGTCGTAGGACGAGCATTCTCTGTGAAAAACAAAAGCGAGATGACTTGTGCGGGCACACGTGCTCGTAAATCTCCGGCCTGTGACACGGCAGCGACCTTCCAATTACATTCGATGGATTAATCTCACGATCGAATCGCTGCCCGACGGTTTCGGGGCGTCGACCTACAACAAGAGGCCCCCGTTCGATCGTTTGTTTTATTCTTCCGCCTCTTTTCCGAGCACCGGTCTTTCTAATCATCCCCCGGTGCTTGGCGGTCGTTTTCCTCTCCCAGCTGTTGAGCATGTCCATTCGTTTAAAAACTCGTTTAAAGTCCCTCGCTCGATGCTCGAATTTCGAACAAGAGCGTATCCCCTCCCCCTCCCTCTACGCTGCCGGAATAATCTGTCGCGATTTTTATCCTCGCTTTTTACTCGCGTTGGGGCTCGCGTTGGATTTGTTTCGGATTGGATTTTTATTTATAACAAGAATCGCGTCGCACCGCCGTCGCTTTATTTCAACGATATTAGAAAGAACTCGTTCGCTCGATCGCTTTATGAGAAATTGAAATAATACCGTGGGCTCGCTCTATTTATTGTTGCGCGCACCAACGAAAGCACTTCGTTAAAAGCAGGAATGAAAAATCGACAGCCCCGACCTCGAAATTGACAACTAGAAAACGTGTAATTAGAATTCTTTTAAATGGATCCGGGTATTTATTAAATGGGATATGCAACACTTGGATCACTTGCACAGTTTTGAAGGTAGAAAAGAAATTTTGCAGGAACGTAACAATATACTTTGATAAATTAGGTAATGAAACATTCAATTTTAATAATTAATAAGTAATAATTAATGAGACTTCATTGATATAGGATGAGTATCTTAGTATCCGTTTATTAGTATTCTGTGATCCACCAATGTTGTCATGTGAATATTGAAGTATAGTCGTGATCTAAATAGGACACGGTATTGTATATTTCACGATATAAATCATAAAGATTTATATTGCACTCGCCCCAACAATACTTCATACTTAGAGTATACATATAAGAAATCAAATAACAAAAGCGTAGTCTACCAACATTTTATATAGTAGCTTAACCCTTAGCTATTGCTATTTAACGTTTTAGTATTTCTCAATGTTCGGGAAAAGTAACACTTACTACGAAAGATATTCTAAAATATTCACACTATCAATGTATAAAGTATGGGACGTAAACAGACACATAGTGTTTACGTTCGCGAGCAAACTATATTTTGTTTTATCTTCGCGTGTCATGACCTAAATGTGTCAGCGTTATTCGTCGCTATTACATAATTTTATATTTGGATCGTTATTACTATACAACATTTTAGAAATTATGTCTGGCAAGGTACAAATGTGTTTCATTTGGTACAAAAACCTTTCGCGAGTAAAAAGATTTTCAGAAATAAGATGGATTTCTAAAATTAATTTTCTATAATATTCATGCACATAAATTGGTAATTTCAACGTGTTTAATTAGGCGTGGAAAACATTCTTAAAATAAAATGGAAAGCATTTTTTAAAGCCTAGTGATTCGAAAGTGGTATTTACAAAGCAATGTTTCGCAAAGTCTGTATAATAATAACGATGGAACTCGTCGAAGTTAAGTAGAAATAAAGTCCATAGAAGTGCATCCTTCGTGCTTGCGACTTTCCAAGTAGGTTTCCAGACACTATGTCTCACAGATGCCTCGACACTTGAGACGGTCACCTATTACAAAACCGAACAATAGATTCAACTCGAACTCGACCCTAAACAACTCTGCATTCACTCTTTGCATATACAGTTTGTACCGCCGTTACTTGTTTCAGAATTGCACTATATACAAAGTCTGTGTAATAATCTTACAAAATGTTTAAAAAACGAATATACTGCAAACATTATTATTGCGTCAAGATTGTTTCTTTTGAAATTTTCTTTGCATACAAGTGTGTATCTTTTTCAGGCGCACGATGAATTGCAAAATGAGTGTTTTTCTTTCTATTAACGTGATCGGACAAGACATTGCAGGCAAATACAACTTCTTGTTTCGCGAACCGGATAGAAGCTCCTCTAGAAAAGCCTGCACCCTTCTTCGAGACTTTTAAATCTACTTTATCCAGAGTTGATAAAAGATTTATTCGTCCTCGTTGATCTCATAAATTCATGAAACTAGATCCTATTCCCTTCAACGATTACACTGTTTTGAATTTAGACTGTTTTCGAAATGAATTTTACAAATTTATTTCATGAAATGTGTATCTTATTTTTAACCACACAAGTTGATACATTTTCGCTAATTTTAATTTCACTCACTTTGCACTTTCAATACACAGTAGCCATCAATATAATACAATAAATATACGGCTGCGTATACTCAATTTTAATATAAAATGAATGGGAATTAATTCAAACTTCAATTGGTTATTATTATAACTAATAATTTCGTTTGAAGAATATGGATTTATTGTCATTAATTGAATCTATCTCATTCATCGCTTTAGGCACTACATTGTCATTTAATTCTAAAATACATTTCACTTTGTCCATAGTTTATGATTCGAAACAACATCAGTACTTAAATAAATAATTTAAAAACGACTATTCCGTACCTGCTAGAGCTATCGAAAACACAACAATGCCTGCATGGAAACCGGAAACTGTCCTTACGTATTCTCGCGAAGCAAGCCCACGCAAAAGTTTCCTATCTCATAAAGTGGACTGCGAAACTTATCTATAGGATCCCCTTAATCGGTTTATCTTCATATCTGGATCCCCGGTATCGATCTTCAACAGTTCTTCG